TTTTTGGTTTTGGTTTTTCGGTGTGACTTGAGACAGGGTCTCACTGTGTCATTCAGACTGGCCTTGAACTCACAATGTAGCACAGGCGGGCCTCAAACTCACAGTGATCATCCTGCCTCAGCCTCCCAAAGTGCCAGGATTATAGGCACCTGAGCAACAATGGCTACTGCACTAGAGTTCAAGTTGGGGAGTCCTGTGGGGAGTCCCGCCTTGCCTCTCCCTAGTTTCCATGGTTCTCTGCCATCTTTGCCTACGTCGCCCCTATCCTTCTGTCACATGGCCATCTTCTTTCAGGGCACCGTGCATGGGATTGGGGCCCCCTTACTCCTGACGACCTCATCTTCACTAATTACACTTCAAGGATGCTATTCCAGATAAAGATCCCATCAGGGCCAGGGATTTAGCTCAGTGGCACCGTTCCTGTCTTGCAAGCACAAGGTCCTGAGTTCAATCTCTGGTACCAAAAAAAAAAAGTCCCATTCAGAGGAGCTGGAGGTTAGTACTTCAACATATATTGGGGGGGGGGAGCAAAGCTCAACCTGAGTCAACTATGTTCACTGACAGTGTGGGAAGAGGCAAGATGGAAAGCTGTCTGCCCACAGCAGAAGGTACGTTCAGGGGCCACGAGTGAAGATTTAAAGAGAAAGTCCTCCAGAAAGGGTAAAGGAAGATGGACTTTCTTCATCTCTCAGAGTCAGGGGTGACTTTGGCTCCAAGTTCCAGGGGTGCAGCCACCTGCAGCTGCCAACGGCTGGAGGCCTGGACCCTGAGTGGGGCCCTGGGTGAGAAGCACCTTCCTGAGGCAGTTGTGGCTGTGTCCTTAAAACTGGGATAAAGTCTCACTAAGTGCCCCTGCCTGGTGCCGGTTTTGTGCACAGAAGGGTGAGGCAGGGTGTGGCCTGTATTTATGAAGGAAGAGCCCACAGTGGGTTCTATTTCCTCTCAGAGCCAGCTGGGCAGGGACCAGGTCACTGGTGGGAAGAGCTGCTCCTCCGGGCCACCCAGCATCTGGCTAGGAGTGGGCACAGCCTGGAGGTGACTCCTCAGTGTGTCAGAGCCCTCCAGGGGCCCCTCAGAGCAACTGGGGAACTCAGGGATGTTTTTGGTTGTGTGCATGTGTGTGCTTCACACATGCCCTCATAATCTGGGTGAGATAAGGACCCCTGTCATACAGGGCAAGGTAAATCAGGGCTGGGGATGAACAGAGACCCAGCTACTCTCAGGAGCCTGATGTCCAGGCAGGGCAGGGGTGCAGGTCCACAGTGTGGGGATGGAGATGCACAGGGTGCTGTGGGGTACACAGGATGGGAACCTAGATCAGGAGAGCTTCCCAGAAGAGACTTCTGGGTGAGGCTGGGGGAACTATGTAAGCCAATGGGGAGATTTCAGATCCAGGTCCAGTGTATGCTTCCAGAGCTGAGGGAGGTCTCAGGGCCCATGGCTGCCTCCCCAATTACTACTCAGGATCCACTCAGTAGCTCATGGGCACATGGTGTCCACCTAGGCTGCTGGGATCCTGCTCATGTGGGAGGAGACCTGGCAGCACTGTGCTGGTGCTGCGTCTGAGATGTGGCAGTGAAGTCAGAGACCTGCATTCACCAGCCCCTCATCTGCCACTGGGTGGATCACCATGGGTACAGAGATGGCACCTAAATAGCAGGTGAGCCCTGCTCCCCTTCCCAGGACTGGGCAGACATTACTAATCAATTGCATCACTTTCACCCTGAGTCAGCCCAAAGCTGCAGACAACCGACCACCATTGGTTAGTCAGTTGCTACCCAGGGTAAACCAACTTGCTTTCTTGACCTAGACACAGACAAGACCAAAGGCTGGGGCGACTCTGAGTCAGAGACCCAGTGGGAGGCCAGCGGTCATAACACATGCAGGAGTTCCAAAAGCAGCAAGGTGAAGGGCAGGGCAGGACTGGCCAAGCTGTCAGGGCAGAACCTCGGGCAAGGAAGGTGGAGATGACTCAGCTTGGCAGAGCTTTAGTTTACAGAGCACTTGTGCTAAATGCTGAGACTCCAGGTTGTAGTGACTTTCTTCTACTTCACAGAGGCTGAAACAGGGTCCGGATAGGTGGTGCTGGGTTTCAGACCACCTGACAGATACACTTGCTCTGAGCTGATGGCCCAGCTTGGGGACACATGGGACTTGGGCTCAGCTATCTCCTGAAGGTTCATCATGGACAGGGAAAGCAAGGTCCACTGGCTAGGGGACAGAGGAGGGGGATCTCCGATTTGTGCACTTGATGGTTTCTGGGTCATGTAAATACTCCCCCTGTAATGTAGATCAAGTCCCCTGCCTGGTGTCACAGATGCCCACAGCCACCGTTTGTTCCAGGAGGGGTGGCACCAGCTCACCCATGGTAGCGCCCCAGCCCACCTGACCATGCTCTACATTCTGCCAGCTGCTGAGACTGGGTTTTCTTTTCTCTTTTCACTTCTCTCACTCTCCTTCCTTTCTCTCCTCCTCCTCTTTTTGGTACCGGGATGGAACTAAGCATCCCCTTTACCACTCAGCCTCATACTCTGCCCAAATGAAGTCTCCTATACCCTTTGTTTGTAGATATCGGGTTTTCCTTTTCCTCAGCCTCCTGAGCAGCTGGGGCTAAAGGCCAGCCATTCTTCCTGTTTCTCACAAGGAAAGGGTCTGAGAACCATCACTGACCCACTGACCATGGCATAGTGGGTCTAGGAGCTGTGATTGGCTCAGGCTCCATGCCAAGAGCCTCCAGCTTGCATGGGGAGGCTGTCCGTCCTGAGAACCCTACACATCCTCTCCACCCTCCCCTCTCTTTCTCCCAGCTCTCTCTCTCCCCTGGGGAGCCGCAGTCACTGCTAGGCAGTGGCAGGACCCTCGCTGTGGCTGCTGATGCAATGTGACCTTTCCAGAACTGGCTGGGGACCCAGAGGGGGTGGGCACCAGAACTGGCCCTCATGGGACTAGGAGTGCATCTGGGGCTCTACCAGCCCTATACCCTCACTGTGGGCCAGCGAACCTGTAAATGACTGTGACCATCTTTCAGATGTGGGCATGAGGCCCAGGCAGGCTGAGGCTGCTCAGACCTTAGGAGCAAAGGCTGGGAGTCCACGCCACTCCCTGTCCACACTCTGCCTGGCCCTGCTGGCCCAGTGACTTTGCGGTGACCGCTGAGTATAGTGCTGTGGAACCCTGGATGGTCTGGAGTCCTTTGCTCAGGAAATCCGCCTTGGCCCATCTGATAACCAGAAAGAGCCAAAGTCGCCACCTAGTGTTTGGGCAGCGGCAGGATGCTGCCTGGTGGGTGCCCAGGCAGGGGCTCAGGGCTTGTTCCCTGGGGTGGGGGACTGAGGAGACCCCTGCTAAGGGACAGACAGGGGAGCAGCCTCTCCTCAGCTTCAGGAAGGGGGCTCATGGGGCCAAATTCTAGATTACTCAAGCCCGTTATCCAAAATTTTTCTGTGAAATTTGATTTTTTAATGCTCTCACCAACATACATACTTACATATACAGAATCCACCAAAAAATGTATACATACTTCAGGAATAGAAAAATAACGTCTGAAAAAAAAGAAAAATAATATCTGGAAGCTAATGGCCAACATTTTGAGCACCTCTTGTAATTGTAGAGCACAAAAGTAAATAAATTTAGTTAGAATATTTATATAAATTTTTCTTTTCTTGAAGTGTGCATACACTTCTTGGCAGACTCCATATATATATATATATGAAATTTTTGGGGGGACAGGGTCCTCACTATGTAGTCCAGGGTGGCCTTAAACTCACAGCAATCCTGCTTCAGCCTCCTGAGTCCTGGGATTACAGGCATGTGCCACCATGCCTGGCTCTATATTAAAAACAAACAAACAAAACCATTTAAACACATCAAGCCTCTGTCAGTGGCCTCTGGTCTTAATTCTCCAAGAGCCATGGAAGTCTCTCCCTTTCCTGTTGGGCACAGTTGCCCTTCTAGTCCACCTTGCCATGCCGAGGCTGTCTTTACTCTGTAGACCATTCCTGGGGCCTCTCCAGCGTGGGCCATCTCTCCATGCTGCCCAGAGCCTGTTTCTGCCACGTCTGAGTCAACGCCCTTGCATGACATCCTTGCCCACTTGCCCTGGCTCACTGTGCTTGCCCAGTACCCCCTGTTCTCATTTGTGGTGGTTTCAAGGCTCCCCGCACTCTGGCTCAGACCCCGCCCCCCTGCACTGCCCTGTCTTGCCCTGTGAACACACCTGTAACTGTTCCTTCTAGCCAGCCCTCTCTGCATCAGGCCCAGCTCCCAGGTGGGCCCTTTCTGATTCCCAGAGGCCACTGGGACCCAAGTCTGTGGGTCCCATCACCCATGTGGCAAGGGCTCCACGGCCACCCCCAACCCCACTGCTACTCCCTGCACCCTTGGCCATTTGGCTGGGATGGGGCTGTAGATCTCTAATCTCCAGCTGGATCTGGATCTCTGGAGACCCTGGAGGGCTCTGTCCTGGTGTGGCCTTGCTCTGCTCTGTGAGCTCAGTAGTCCCCAGCCTCACTGTGCCCACTGTGCAACACAGGTACTGGCCAGCCAGGATCTGAGCCCAAGACCCGTCCTCCCTCCTCCTGGGACAGGCTCCCTGCTCTGCCCTGGCCCAGGCATCCAAGCCCACCCAGAAGCCCAGGCTCTTGTTAAACTGGAGCGCAGGCTGGGGGTGCAGTGCTTACACAGAACAAGGCCAGAGGTCTAGCCCCAGCCCCGCAAAATCCTGGAGGCCAGGGCACTCTGGACAGTCCCCTCACACGGAGGAAAAGCTATGCACCCACGCAACACACGCATGTGCACACTCACACAATCGCTGCTCCAACCTCCAGGCCCCCAGGTCCTGGGCCCGCCCCCATTCCAGCCACCACCATGGGGACTTGTTTCTTCTTCAGTCCCCATGAAGCTTCCTGTCACCTCCTCCAGCTGTTGCTCAACACCACGTGCCAAAGGTCACATGATCTCTCTCACCCATTTAAAACTACGCACCTGGAAACAAGCGGTGGTGACACTGACACAGTGAGCATATATTTAATGCCACGGAACTGTACACTTACAATGGTGACAATGGCAAGCATATTTTAACCCCAAAAGCAAACAAAAAACTGCATTCCCTGCTCCTGGTCCAAGTTGTCCCCCAGACACTGATTTCGTCATTAGCTTCTCTCCTGCCTCACTCGCAGCGCCTGCTTCAGGAGGGCGGGGCCTTGAGTGTCCGTCCGATTCACGGTCCCACACCTGTCCCTGCCCACACTTCCGCTGTCACCAGGGAAGGCGGTCATGACCACGGAGAGCAATCAGCGCTCTTCTGAAGTGGCCTCTGCTCCCTGACACTATCAGCAGCTCGAACACCAATGGCATTTTGGAAGGGGTGCTGAAAATAGCCCTGAAATACAATTTACACCCCACACATGGGCCCTGTTAACCCTGCCGGACTGTGGGTCCCCAGGGCAGCCTATCAGGGACGCAGCAAAGGAATGTGGTAAGTAAGGTGGCACAGACGGGTATCCAGAGGGCCTCATCCCTCTGGGCCCAGTGTCCTCGTTTGTAAATGGGACAGTCCCTCCCCCGGGGGATCGTGGAGATCGGATGAGCCAGAAGGACCGTGTAAGGCCAGCATGCTGGAGCTCAGGGCCTCAGAGCTTTCCCAGGAAATCCAGCTTGCACCCAGCTCTTGCGTCTTCAGCACTTAAACTCGCGCCAGCGCCCCTTCCACCCAGGTATCCGCAGCTCAGGATGCAGAGGCTGAGAAGCGCGTTCTCCAGACCTGCCTCCAGAGGGCGCCCCCGTCCCAGCGCTGAGCAGTCCTCCACCCTGAGGGTGAGGCTGACATTTCTTTGCAAATAAGGGGACCCTGACTGAGCCAAGACACCCCACAACAGGCAGCCCTGACCTCCTCCTTATGCAGGGGATGCAATCCCCATGAGCTGCAGCCCAGTACCCAGGGCATCTGCCTGCAGTGTGGTCAGAGCTGTCTCTCTTCTCTGTCACCTACAGGCATCTCCAGGCTCGGAGAAAGGAGCAGCATGTGGTGCATGCAGGGTCAGTAGCTCAGGGGTGGTCATGCAGGTACTCAGGCTGGCAACCTTGGGTCCCCCAGGAGCGAGGCAGGGAAACGGGAAAGGCCCCTGCAGAGCCTGTCCGTTCTCACATGTCAGCAACTGGCACCCTGCTGCTGGCCTTCCTTGTGGGGCACCTGGTCCAAGCTCCCCCACAGGCAGCTGCCTTCCTGCCCTGGCCACCCATCTCTGGCAGCAGCTTGCTCTGTGTGCTCTGACCTGGGTTCGGTCATCCCCAATGATCCCCACCCCACTCCTGGTTTCAACCTCCCACTGTGACTAAGGGGGTGTGGCCTGCAATCAGAGCATCCCTGTGGCCTGGTCTCAGAGAGTAGATCGGGATCTGGAACACAGGTCAGAGGCCATCTGCCAACCTGGCCCTTGGGTCATCCTGGCATCCCCCAGGTTAGTGGGCACTGCCTTTCTGGGACCTAGCGTGAAGCTGTCCTCAGCAAATGCTGATCCCCGGGGGCAAGCACCTGAAACTCACAGGTGCTTATTGCCAAACCAGATGCCCAGGCAGCACCTAGCCGCTCCTCTCCCTCAGCACTCCAGGACCCCAGCAGCCTTGATGGCTGTCCGTGTGGTGTAGTAAGTGGAGGTGGGTGGTGATGGCCACCAAATTCAGTAACAGAACCCACGGGTCTCCGTCCACGACCATGGCAGTCTGACTCAGGCTTCATGCTTACACCCTCAGGTCCCAGCTGTTTCAAAACCTGAGGCAGAGGAACCACTGAGCCCAGGAATTTGAGACCACCCTAGGCAACAGGGCAAGACTTCTCAAAGCAAGTGACTTCCCTCTCCAGAGCCGGTAAGCAGACGGGCATGTCTGTCCTGGAGCCCAGGAGTCCTGGGGTCAGCTCAGTGCTTCGACCACCTAGGGTTGTAAGGAGGGCTATGAGCTCTAAGAAAGCAAGTCGAAGATACCAGATCCTCCAGGAGGCCTATGGAATGAGCATGGAGGCCAGGCTTTGCTTGGGCTGCTCTTCCGTGAGGTGGTGGCATCCAGACCACTGGATGGCACCTCTTCATCTCCCAGGCTCCCATGTGAGTGGCCCCACAAGTCGTCCTGCCCACCTGCCCTTGCAAAGGTCTGGCAGTGTCTTTTTACTGGATTTCCGTGGGCATCTGGGCACCTTGAACTGCAATGGGCTCCTCGGACCCTCACCTGACTCCTGGTTTCCGCACTGAAGGCGCCAGGTGGGCACTGCCAACCTGCTCATCCTCTCCCAAGGCCTGGTCCCACCTGGGTCCCCAGGCTCTGGGCTCAGCTGCTTCCTTGAGACAAACCCAGTTTTCCTTTTGCCACCTTGCTTGTGCCAGGCTGCTTGGCCCACATGTCCTAGGCAGTGAGCTGCCTAGCAGTGCCTGTCCATCTCTGGGCATCTCAACCCTCCACAGCACAGCACGGTGTGACGGGCACAGACCTACAGCCTGGTGTTTAAGTGGAAGAAGGGTGGCGCTGCATAGGTTGTGACAGGTGGCACATGCCAGGCAGGCGACCCTGGGCCCAGTCTATGGCGAAGGGCACTGTCAAAAGATGCTGGGGGGAAGTGCACCAGGCTGGTGGTCATGGGTGAGTGGCTAGTAGTGGCCAGGAAGTGGGCTGGGAAGGCCGGAATGACCAGGGGACTGAAGGGTAGTGTGGCCTGGCCCTTTAGTGGGTCTGGGGTGCCAGCAAAACTGAGCGGGCAGCGCAGCATGGTGCCCCGGTAAGCCTCTGGTGGGGCAGGCCCCAGGGCTGGGCCCAGCAGGCAGGAGACAGCCATGTCGGGCACCAAGGGCTTCGGCCTGCACTCTTTGGCATCCATCTCCTTCAGGAAAGGAGACACTGCTCGCAGTTTCCTGCCACCATGGGCAAAGCCCTCCTCATCCATGCTGCGCTTGTTGCCAAGGCCTGGGCTTCTAGGGACAGCAGGCAGGGGCACAGGGCTCTCAGCAGGGACTCTGGCCATGGGGGGCACCCAGCAGGCTTTGGGCTTGGGGTAGAAGCTACTCTTTCTGGAGGTGCCTTTGTGGAATGCAGAAGGGCGGCTGGCGTCCCCGCCCCACACCAGTTGGGCCTTTTTGGCTGAAAGCCCCTCTCCTTTGCCAGGGGATCCCAGCAGCAGCCTGTCTTTTAGGCTGGAGAAGAAGTCCCGGGGGTGCTGGCTGATAGGTTTCAGCACCTCAGTGGGGTAGGTGTGGAAAGAGCCCATGAAGATGGGAGCCGTAGAGCAGGGGACTCCTGGAGTCTCTGCCCCCAGGCTGTTTCCTGGGGCCTGCAACCCCTCCAGTGGGGCCCGCTGGCACCCTGAGTTCTCAGCCAGCCCTCTCGGGCTCCAGGAACTCTCTAGGAGCTTCCTGTCAGGGTCATCTGCCCCATGGTGACAGCCCTCCTCCTGGCACTGCAAGGCCTCTGCCTTGCTGACCTGGGCTAGGAGCTTTTTCTTAGCCAGAGGTGACATGACACCATGAGTCTCTTTGCAGTAGAAGGTGGACAGGAGCCGCTTGTAGGCCTCAGGGCAGACACCAGCACCTATGAAGGGCAAGGAGGACCCAGGAGCTGGGCTTGGCTGCTCCATGCTACGCCTAGGGGGCGCCTCGCTGGGAAGTGGAGCCAGTTCAGTGGCATCCGTTTTGTTCTTTCCTGGTGTCACCTGGAAGGAGAAAAAGCCGGGCCTCAGGACCAGGCCTGGGCCAGGAATCCTCCCTGGGGACCTCCGGGGTATACAGGGTCCTGGTGAGCCCCTGTCCTGTGAGTGGACACAGACTCAGATCAGGACGTGGGACCTGGTTAGCAGGTGTGAGCCAGACTTCAGATTCCACATGTGCCACCATTCACAGGGGACTCATCCCACCTCCTGGCCCCTGCCCTACCCTCAGTTCAGTTTGGGGCCCAAGCTGGGAGCCTCCAGCCACAGTCAGCTGCCAGAGACAGGGGACAGGAGCCATGATATTCGGTGCTCACCTGGTCCACCTGCCTCTCCTCTTTGGTTTTCTTCACCTGCTCAGTGGCCCCGTCATCCCCCCTTGGCTCCTTGGCCATCTTGTACTGCTTCCTGGGCTTGGAGGGGGGCAGTGGCTTGTCATCTTCCCCCTTCAGGTGCCGCACATATGGGAGGACCAGCCTGGGGAAGAGCCAGGCCTGTCCACCAGGAGCTGGGGCTGCCCGAGTCCATCAGCCTGGGCTCCTCTATGACCCCAGCTCCCATCACAGCTGCCACCAGGAACCCCCTTTCCGACAGCACACAGGGCCACCCTACTGCCCCCATCTTGTCATAGCTCTGGGCCCTGGTGAGGATGCAGCACACATGTGTGTGTGCCCACTACATGGCCAGCTGGCACATACATCCTGTCCCCTCCGCTGGGTACACCTACCCCACTCCCAGCTGACCTCTGGGAAGCCCGGTCCCACTCCAGGGGCACAATGGCCACTCCCTCCCTACCTCTCATAGTGGCGGCGTGTGCACGTAGCCGCGCTCGTGCTGCCTGGGCTGCCCCCCAGCTCGTCATAGACATTCTTCCAGAGGCGGCGGCCGGTCACCTGTGAGGGCGTCTTGTGAGGCCAGGGCTACAGGCATCCCTGTGCAGCTCCAGGTCCCCTTGCGGGGCCGGGACCAGAACTGCAGTTTCCTGGCTACTTCTCCAGCAGGGCAGGAGGGTGAAGGAGCTCCAGGCCTCCCACCAGCTCCCCTCGCAGGGCCACCTGACTGTGGCCCAGGCAGCTCTGGAGCACAGGACAGAACAGATGGGGAAGAGGAAATCTGCTTACAGCAACAAAGTGCCAGTGGCCAGGGCTGGGATGGGAGATCCTGGCTCTTCCTTCTCTACCTGCAGGCAGACAGCCCTACAGCTCACCCCTTTTCCCTGCCCCTCCTGGGGTGCAGTGGAATGTGCTGGGAGAGGCGACATGGTACAGACATGGAGGGGTCCCCCAGCTTACCAGCTCATAGGCCCCCAGCTTCTCTACGGCCTTGTAGATCTTCCACAGGTTAACTGGAGGGGACAGGACAATGCAGCTGTCAGTCTCTGCAGCCCCCCACATGCAGACAGGCCCATGCGATGACCGGCAGGCTGTTCCTAAGCACTACTGCCCAGTGGCCACAGGGATGGAATCTAGCTCTGCCCCTGCCAGCCCCAAGCCTGCAGAGAGGCACCCTGTGACCCCCCTCAGGTGGGCGGTATCTAGGGTCACCCAGAGCAAGGAGCCGGCCCCACTGCCCTGCCTGGGTGGGGTCCCCTGCTTGGCCCCCCTCCTCCCCCAGGAACCCTGCCTGCACCCGAGGGACGCACTCTGCTTGAAGCCAAGATGGGGCACCCTTTCGATGGGTGTGTGCCGCTCCTTCATGAACTTGTAGAGGCTGACCAGGAAGGCCTGCTCCTCCTCCCGCTCCCCGCCTGCCTCGGGGGAGTCCTGGAGAAAGAACGCAGGCATGGGGATGGGCCCTGGCTGCCAGTGGCTGAGCATGGGTGTTGACCACTGAGGGTATCGAGAGGGTCCTGGCCCCCACCCAGGCTCCCAGGACACCCAGCCTCCTGCCCTGGGCCACAGGGATGGTTGCTGGTCACATAGGCATGGGTGCCAGCTGCCGGGGCCCAGCACCCAGGACAGGCCAGAGCCCAAGGTAGTAGGCTTAGGGACCACGGGAGCATCCCTGCCCTCTCTGGGTGAGGAGCACGTCTTTATCTTGCTCTTGATTTGTTCTGTCTTCGTCTTGGCCCCTCTACCAGTTCCTGCAAGGCAGGCTCGGTGTCCCTGGGCCCCTGGGGTAAAAGCTGTAGGAAAACAGGTGCTCCTGGCACCATGAGGCCACTCTGCTGGGCTATGTCCACCCAGCCTCGGCCACACTGCCCATGTGGGTAGACAGATATAAACACAGTTTTACATCACAGATCCACGCCTCTGTCGGCTCTGGGATAAGCGCCAGGTCATCTTCATTTAAAAGTTGGTTCTGTACCAAATCTAAGTCTGAAACCTGCTGCCCAGTGCCCAGATCTTACACCTTACAAGTAGGGCCCTATGGGGTCAGGGATAGGAACATGTCTCCCTCTGAGGACTTTCAGGGCTCTGAGTCTCCTGGAGGCTGAGCCCAAGCTAAGGGTCCTGGGGAGTCGCCCGACTCACCTCCAGCTGGATCGGGCTCTGACTCCTGCTCTGCTCACCATCAGGATTAGGGGACACAGGGGCATCTACAGGGTCACCCTCCTCTGACTGCTTCCTTTTTCCTCTGACAGGGGGTGCTGCTGGGAGATAGAAGAAAGGGGAGGAAGGAGAGGAGGGCACTTGTGAGGTGCAGGTAGAAGGAACAGCTGGCAAGGAGCTGTTCTCCCACCCGTTTACAGCTGGCCAGGAAAGGGTGCATCCTCCACCTGCCCTTGGCGCTCCATCTAAATCACACACACACACACACACACACACACACACACACACACACACGTCTCCACACTCATGGGGCTGATTTTAGCCGCAGCCCCTCACTCCTTCCTCTCCCCTCCCTGACTCTCCGCTCTGCTGTCCCATCCCAGCCCTCCTATATCTCCAAGGGAACTGCTAAACCTCAGGGCCCCTGGGAAGGGCCACATGCTGGGGGCTCCTGTCTCCCAAGCCTGCCCCTGTCCAGGCAGAAAGCCCCACAGCAGCTCAGCCAAATCAGGGGTACTAGAAGGCTCCCACATCTGTGACCCCCAAACCCCCAGATGCCCACATAGGCTCCTCCAGGAACTATCCGGCAGGGCCTTGGTGCCCATCTCAGGGACATTTGGCCTTTCCCCGAGTGCATGCACAGCTCTAGCTGTTGCTTCTTAGGCCCCATGCTGCCCTCCAAAGCACATTCGGGGAACCTGGTCTGCTCCTTGGGGGAGAGCCCTGGCTAGACCAGCCCTCCCGCTCCTCTCCCACTGACCTCAGCTTCTCAGAGCCATCCCCACTGAAGTCCCTTGTCCACCTCTGATCCCTCAGCGAGGCCTCCAGACCCCATGACAGATGCCAGGGGAGCAGGAAGAGGGGAGCTCATGTTGAGCAGGCACCAGGGAGAGGAGCCAGGGCTCTGCTCCCGAAGGCAGCCATGTGCTGGCCACTGCGGGAACACAGCACCTTCGCCACAGGCACTGGAGCGGCCCTGGGCCATGCTGCAGGCTGGCAGCCCCCTGGGCACCAGGAAGCCACACCTCTTGACAACCTTCCTGCCTTTCTTCTGTCAGTCTGGTCTCAGCAGCCCCACTCCCCTTGCTCCAGCCCAGGAAACCCTACCTGTTGGGAACCTACAAGATGTCGCCTCCATCCCAGTCTTCCTCGGAACCACAAACTCATACCAACCAGCAGCCGGTGGCATTAGAATTGGGGCCACTAAGCAGCCTCCCTTTGAGAGCTGTCCCCAGAGGTGCAGCCACACCTGCAGCTGCTCACACATGTCCCATGCACGTCCTCGGTCACAGTCCCTGGATCCCTTACACTCTTCTCGCACAGTCCCAGGAAGGATTATTTTAATTTTTATTTTGGTTTTTGAGACAAGGTCTTGCTGTGTAGTCCAAGCTGGCCTTGAACTCACTATGTAGCTCAGGCTGGCCTCGAACTCACAGAAATCCTCCTGCTTCAGCCTCCCGAGTGCTAGGATCGCAGATGTGCGCCACCACACCCAGCTAGAAATGGGAAAGACCCTTGAGTTCTTTGCTAACTCTCCATTAGCAGCCTCTCTTCTCTCCCTTCCCCTTTGCCCACCTTACACTGTTCCCCACAGCTCCCTGCGCTTCCTTGCACCCACTGCCACAGATCTAGAGCACTTCTGAGAGGGACCCGGGCTTCTCACTGCAGCCCTCCTGCCAACTCACTGGCCTGTCTGCCCCTTCGGCTTCAGAAAAAAGGTAGCTCATCCAGGCACAGTGTAACCTGTCCCAGCTGCTCAGGAGGCTGAGGCAGGAGGATTGTTTGAGCCTACAAATTTGAGGCCAGCCTGGGCACCATGCTCAAAAACAAAACAAAATAAGGTGATTGGATCATTAAGATCCCCTGGGAGGACATTTTAAAGACTGATGTTGAAGGTCTGCTTGGGGCACTGGAATTTAAAGCACCCTCAGTGGAAACCAGCAGCTGCTGGGCAAGCACCTCTTGACCCTTCCTGCTTCTGGTTCTGGAACTTGAGTACTTTGCCTGGGCCATGCTCAGGGACAATGTCCTGGTGGCTGGCACTCAGGTTACCTGGAAAGGAGGTCACCAACCGGAGCTGGTCAGCCCCAGATGGGAAGGGATAGGAGCTTCTGCCGGAGCTGCACAGAGGAGCACTCTAGTCTCTCGTCCTACTGCATCCCCGGGTGAACTTGGTCTGCTCTGCCCTGGCGGGGACTTTGGGCCCCACATCCACAGCCTGGGCCGTGGGACCCAGGTCAGTCTTGTCCTCACTTCTCCATGGTGCTCTCTGCTGTCCCTGTGGCCCTAATCTCCCTTCCTCAACCCATCTTCCAGATCTAGGTTCCAGATCCGGGCTCCATTATAAATTGAGGTGATCTTTAGTTGTAAAGAGGCTTCTGCTGTAGAAAAGGAGTTTCACACTCTTCCCACTGCCTTAGGCTTGGGACAAATCCCTGGTGCCTCCCCTATCCTTTCCTTCCCTGATCATTTATAGATCTAGGTTCTATATCCTGGTTCCATTACAGATCCAAGCAATCTTTAAAAAGGGTTCTGGTCAGTTGTGGTCGTGCATGCCTGTAACTCTGGCTTGTGGGAGGCTGAGGCAAGAGGATCACTCACTCATAGTGAGTTCAAACCCAGCCTAAACTACATAGCAAGACCTGTGCTCTCCACAAGAACGCCATTCAGATATGACTTTTTCCACCCAGGGACACTAATGATAGAGTTGACTGACGCTGTACTGTTTGCTCATAACACATCTGGAGTCTCCTCTGGTGTGAAGTAGAAGACAGGCGTCTCCTATGGGTTTCCCAGTGGTAGGCGGGGACGCCCTCCCCCATAACCCAAAACACTGCTCTCCCAGTCTCAGCACTTACACAGAACACATCAGGGACTATTTCTGGACGTTCTGACCTGCTCCCTTCACTGTAGCATGCTGGCATCCATGAGCACAGTTTCAATTTTTGGTGGCTTTGTACCACAATTTACTCTCCAGAGTGTAAGCTTCCCAACCTGACTCATTAAAACATCCATCTGAACTAGCCAATAATTCAGTCACATTCTCTTAAAAACAAGTCAGGTTTGATGGGACAGCACATAAATGTAGAAGCTACTCTGAGAGAAACACTTTTGTGACATCACCTCTTTCCCTTTCCCTGCTGACTCCTCCACAGTCCCTGCCGACTCTGGTCCCCTCTGCAGCCTGATGCCCCTTCCTCAGGCCTCGCACCCTTCCTGCCTTGCTGCTCCCTCAGTGGCAGGTGGTAGGTGTTGGTGGCAGGACCTCCCTCCATGAGCCCTGCGCCTTCCTCACATCACTGCTGGCCCGGGCACCAAGGGACCAGCTCCAGGCCCCACGCACTGCCCAAGCCCCTCGGGTTACGGGTCTGCTTTCTGTACAGAGCACAACTCCCAGATGCTCAATGACAGCAGTGTCTCACTCGGGGTCACTCGCTCACTCAAAGCCTGCGTGTTCTCACCCATTCCAACTTCCCTCCCCCATCACGTGTTCCACCAACTCAAATTAGTGCTCTGGCCAGCTGTGAGTCAGGCATCTTCATTTTTTTTTATTTTAATTTTTATGAGCCCATGTTTGCAGTATGTAATGTTCACATTCCTCATGGGGAGTCAGTACATGTGCATAACACATCCTAATTCTTTTTATTTCCCCTTCCCTCTCCTCCCCTCTCCCCTCCCTTCATCTCTCAGTCCCCTTTTCTTTCAAGAAAAATCTATCTCCCTGTTTCCTATCTTATCTTTTATTTTTATCTTTATCTATACTTTGGATTTCTCATATGAGAGAAACCATGCGATATTGAAGCTTGTGCATCTGGTTTATTTCATTTAACATTATGGTCTCAAGGTGCGTCCATTTTCCTACAAATAACTATTTATCCTTCTTCATAGCAGAGTAGTACTCCATCTTGTATGGAGTACATCTTCCCACCCATGCTGTGGGTATTATTTCTCCCTTTTAACAGTTGAGAGGTTCAGAGGGGTTTGATAACTTGCCTCAAGTCACACAGCTTCCCCGTTGTAGCTAGGATTCAGAGCCAGAGAGGTCTGACTGCTCCAAGGCACTGAACCCTGAGGTCTGGAGGGTTTCTTTTTCTTTTTTTTTTTTTTGGTACCGGGGATCGAACTTGGGTCCTTGAGCTTGTGCAGCAGGAGGTGAAACCACTAAGCTAAATCCCCAGCCCTGGAGTGTTTTTTTTTAAACAGTAAGACCCCCAGCCTGCTGCACAAGTCCAAGGACCTGAGTTCAATCCCCGGTACCAAAACAAAAAACAACAACAAAAAAACAGTAAGACTCCAACTTCCTCATCTATGTTCAGAGGGTACAAAGGCACCCACTTTCCCTGTGTGGGTCACCCAGTCACTCTGCTGACAAGAGCTGGTCAGTCCACACTGGTCAACCAGGCCCCACTGCAGGCTAGAGCTAGGATTTGGACCCTTCCTGCTATGAATTAATTTCCCTGGTCTCAGAGGCCCCCAGGGCCCCCACCATCTTCCAATAAGGGCATTGTTCCCATAATCTTAAGGTAGGAAGGTAAGCACTATTGAGACTTCTTTCAGAGCCTTGCATGTGCTGCCTGAGTGGAGGAGAGGCTCCTGGGGCCAGGGCTCAGACTGGGGGAACAGACTCAGCCAGGCAGGAAGGTGAGCAAGGCCAGCAGGTGGGCGTGGGGAAGCCAGAGGCTGCTGTGAGTTGCCCCTGCCTGGCCAGGGCAGGGGGGCAGGGTGGAAGAGAGGGCGGGCAGGGGTCTAGCATCCCACGGGTGCATCTTTTACCCACTCAGTCATTGCTTCTGTACCTCAGTTTCCCTATCTACAAGATGGGTGTGGTAGACTCAAATGGGCCAGTGTTTTAAACAGAAGAAAGTGAGAAATGAGGCTCCTCCCACAAACCACAGCCAAGTGTCCATACGCCCTCAGTGACATTGGTCACCTGCTTGTCTTGCCCATTCCCCATGGTACTGCGCTGCCCTCTGAGCGCTCCCCGTCAGCCTGGGCTGCCCACGACCAGTTCAAGGCTGCGAGGCACCCCCTGTTCTCCTCTCTCCGTCCCTCAACTGCCCCACTCACCCTTGGTACAGTAGGAAGGAAGTGACACTTCCTTTCATGAAAAGTCACCAACTAGGAACACTGTGACAATTACGTGACAATAGCTGCAACTGCAGCCTCAGTAGCAACCAGCAGACACAGCCCCACCCCTTCACCCACCCAAGGTTGTTGGCTTAAGTTTCCCGGAGCTTGAGCTGGAGCCCAAACAATGACAGAGTTTGAGGCAGCTGGTCGGTCCACTCCGAGGCCCAGAAGCCGGCTGCCTGGCAGAGTCTGAGTGTGGGGCTTGCTCCAGGGGGAGGTTTGAGGCCATGCAACCAGCCAAGGGCCAGCACTGAGGACCCCAGGGGGCAGCACCCACCACAGCCCAGCCCCAGTGCCTCCCTGGGGGAGGGGAGAGGGCCAGGTTCTGGGAGCAGCTGGGGCCAAGATGGTCCAGAAATGCAGCTGGGTGTGGAGACACCAAATAGGAGCCTGCCAGCTCCCGAATCCCACTGCAGCTCCTTGTCCTTCTGTACCTAGCTTGGACATCCTAAAAGATCCTATTCCCCTATTCTGGGACAAAACAGGGTGAACCTCATCACCCCTCCCTGCCCAGCTGGGAGAAGCTGGATGGCAGGAGTAACAAGGCTGGGAGGTGGTAAAGGACTTGGGCAGGATGTGACCCAACAGCAGAGGCACCGCCAGGCCTCCTCTACCTTCCCACTCCCCTCTTGCTCCTGAGGCTGCCCCCTGTGGCTCTCCAAGCTAGATGATGCCCCAGGCTTACCTAGGAGGGAGGTGGGTCATTCCAGGCCAGCCCTAATGGCCACCAACTTGGGAAACAAGAGGCTGCAAGGGATAGAGGGGCCAGGAGTCTTGGAGACCTGTCCCTCACTCCCTGCCAGACCAGAGCTAGTCTATGCATCAGTTTCTCTGACTGTCAATGAAAGACGGAGGGCCTCTTGTAAGACCCTTTCTACATCTGTCACATCAAGTTCTAGGGCTGGAGCAGGTCCAGACTGGACTCTGGAGCTCCTCTCAGGAGGCCAAGCCACCTATAGGCACAGAGCCTCCCCACCCCCACCCCGAAGCAATTCCCAAGGGTGAGGGTAAGCAGGACAAAAAGCACCTGTCATCCTCCCCGGGGCCGCAGGACCCCGCCCCACTGCCCAAGACTGGGCAAATCAGTGGACTGGGGGCCAGACCAGCTCAAGAACTGGGGACCCTGAGGTCTCCCAGAGCTCCCGAGCCCGGCTGGGTCCCAGCACAGGGAGCCCTGGACACTGCGGGGGTTGGAGGCGCGCCCCCGGGTTTCGACCCAGGCCCGGCCGCGCGCAAGGCCGAACTCCTCGCTTTCCCGGCCCCCATAGCCTGCGCTTGTCTCTGCTCCCCATCGAGCCTCGGGAGAGCGGAGACCCCGACCCTTCTCGGCCCAGAGGGAAGGGAAGGGGAAAGACAGGCAGAAGAAAGGAGAGTAGGGGCTTGGGAGGGCGGGCAGGAGACAAGAAGTGGGGGAGGAGTGAAGCAAAAAAGGGAAGAGAGAAGAGAAAGAGAAGGGCAGGGACCAGGAGCCCGCGAGGGTCACGGCCCGGCCGAAAGCGGAACCGTCGATTCTTCACACCGCGCGGCCGCTTTCGGGAAACGGAGGTGGCGTGGAAGCGCCCCGCGCGCGGCGCCCCCTCTCGGTTCTCAGAAGCGCGGGGCTGTCACGGGGGAGGGGGCCGGGCCCGGCCGGAGCCCGCTGTGACAGCCGTCACAACAAATTCGCTGAGCCCAGCTCGAGATTGAAACCGCAGCAGGAAGTGGGATGACAGCGTGCGCGGGGCTCGGACGGCGCAGAGTTTCGAGATAAGCGGCCGGGAAGCCCCTGGCGGCCCCAAACTTTTTGTCTTTCCTTTTTTTCAAGGCGCGCGAGCAGACACTCAGGCCTCAGCCTCCCCGCGCCCAGCGAGGGGATCCGGGTTCGTTCTGGGCGCCCCAGCTTCTCCCGAGCCCACTCCGGCCCCCCACGAGGCCCTCAAAGCCGCACCCACGGCCGCGAGGGATCGCGGCGCCCCAGCCTTCGCTCTCCCCGCGGGGCCGCCGAGCCCTGCCCCGGACCACCCAGCTGCTCACCCATGGCCCTAGAGGTCCCGCGTCGCCCGCCCGAGCACCCTCCACACGCGCGACTCCTGGGCTCTGCGCTCTTGGCGCGACTGGCTCCCAGAGCAGCTCACCGCCCACCTCCCCGCGGCCCCGCCCCGCCAGGGCCCCGCCCCAGCCCGCTCTGGGTTCCCATTGGCTAGTCTGGTTCATTAGAACCGGCAGGGACCAAGCCCGGGGAAGTCTGGGAGTTGTAGTTGCGCGCTCCCCACCACCGGTTTAGACTCAGCACTTGCAACAGGTATCTCACCTAACGCGGCTGAAGCAGGTCACCCAGGAGTCGTTGCTGCCTTCAACCTCAATTTCCCTAGAGGCAAAACTAGAGTCTTGAAAAAAAAAAAAAAGCAGTCCTCTATGCTCTCTGCAGTGCACTGAGGGCTGGGTGGGGTGAACAAAATGCTTGTGACTTTGACTTGAAGTGGCCCTGGGCATTTCCCAGCTCCCACCCAGCCCAACCTAGGAGCCAAGGTGGTTAGGGTCACCCTAACAGGGACAGAACCCGCAAGTCCTGGCCTAAGCTCTGAGGGGTTCAGAAATGCCTGATGTCCCAGGCCTGCCCTTAATGGCCAATGTTCACATATGTCATTGCAGACCAAGTGGCAGCTACAAGCTGAGTAATGCAAGAAGAAGGGCATTACATCCAGCTGAGGGAGAAGAGGGTGAATATGGGCAGGAGAAGGTGCCCAGCCAGCCATGACAGTCACTTGGACCTGAGAAGGTCATAGAGGAGGAAGCCGAGGCTTGGAGATTAAGAGCATTGTGTCTCAGCAAGTAGCTAGCTATGACTTGAACCCTGTTCCTAACGCACAGAAACTGTGCTGATGGATTTTAATATCCATAGGAGCTCTGTGCATTTCACACTATTGTATCCGTATAGGGTAAAACTGAGACCTGGGAGATTAATTAGCTCAAGTAATACAGCTGGTGAGAGGCAGAACTGCAGCTAAACCCAGGCATTGAGGCCCAATAGAGCTCCTGTACCCAGAACCACCCACCCTGTTGGCACCCATCACCAGGCTGCTGTTTGGAGCCCCTGCCTGACATTCGGGCCCTTGCCCTTTAGCCTTGGAATGGCAGCTCCCTCCCAGCTCAGCTGGGGCAGACAGTGCTGTGGCTCATCGGTGAATTTGTCAGAGCCAGGCTCTGTAAGTTTGGTAACAGGCATCTCATTGTCAATGTGTAAAAATGTCCAGTGATTGTAATGGAGCCTCCCACTGCCAGGATTAGAAGCCACTGTCCCTCCAGGACAGAGGAGGCTGTGGCAGGGATACTATGGTGGGAGACCATCAGGAAGCAGAACATTCTAGCCCCACTTTGTCCATTCTGTAAGAACTGATGGGGCCACACACTATGCCCAAAGGTGGTCGTGGAAATCTGGATGCTGCCCTCAGGGTCACAGTCTAGGCCACTGGTGATGAACCTAAGGCATGCATGCCGCAGCTGACACACAGAGACCATCTGTCATCATGTCAACCACATTGCCCCAGAACCATGCCAGCAGCTGAGTATTCAGGTTTGTGATAAATAAGTGGGTTTGGGTTGCAGTTTGGGCACTCAGTCTCTGAAAAGTTCACCATTACTGGTCTAGGCCAAGCCTCCCCACTGGATTGGATGCTCCCGTTGATGTGGAGCTCACTGGCTTTCAAAGCAGCACCTCCTCCCACCTTGGCATGGGGATATCCTGCCATCCCCGCAGTGCTGAGCTCTCACAGACAGGGGCTGTTGTGCGAAGCCTCAGCAAGTCAACACCTGCCCAACCGAGGGGGAACAATACAATCTAAATTTAATTGCCTCCCCAGGCAACTGTTTGCAATAGAAAGTAATTTATGACAGCCAGTAAATCCTTGCCAAAAGCATAAGCATGTCCAGTGCTCAGGAATCTGGCTCACACACCTCCACCCCTCCTGCAATCACAGGATTCCAGCTCAGGATGGCATAGGGACTTACCTGTCCCCAGTGTCACAGTTGGTGTCTCTCCAGAGGAAACACAAACCACGAATAAATAAACCCATTCTCTGGGAAAAATTTCACAAAGGAATCGGTCCTCTTTGGCATTACAACAGTCAAGTTCCCTCTTTTGCCCATGATCAGATTAGAGGAGCTGCTCCCTTTGTAGTGTCAGAAACACAGGTATCCGAGGTGGACTGAAACCCTTAGGTGTGTTTTATGCGTGTCTTTAGGTACAAATGATCCAATTCCAATTGTTCCATTCCAGAACTGGCTTTCTCAACCAATCACAGACCTTAGAGAGCTTTCCGGTTAGAACACAGATCAACCTCTCTCTCTCCTAACCTCCAGGCCATGTGCCTTTGCAGGGATGTACACAGTTCCTTTATTTAATTTTCTCTTAATGCCCCTTAATATTTTTCCCAGTTCCAGGAATCCTGACGAGGACATTCTAGCTCCCAAGTGTTCTCAGAGGCCAAGTTACAGCTGCCTTCTAACACCTCTCACTGGCCCTTCTAGGAAGGGAACCTGACCCCAGGGGTGGTTGTAGGGACCATTCAAGATCATTTGGCTACCAGGCGCAGAGAGGTTAAGTGAGTTGCACAAGGTCACACAGCATTGTTATTGCCATTGCTTCTTGGGGAATTGCTGAGATACTCAGCACACTCAGAAAACAGAACACACAGCCAATTTTCTGCCCTGAGAAGCTTTGTTCCCAGGCTCAGCAGTTGCACAAGGCCCCCCGGGGGCTCGTTTTCAAAGGAAAGAGAATCGGGAAGTATTTTTAATGCTGGCCCTGCCCCACTCGCAGAGCTGGCTGTCCAGGAAAGGGCTGCTTCTCAGCGGCATTCGCAACTCATGGAAAACAACAAATGCCCGAAATAGACGATACCCAAGCCCAGGAATGGAAAAGATTGGCTCATGGTTTGAATGCCTCTTTTAGAAAAAGACAAGAATAGCTTCTGGCCTTTGGGGAAGGGCCGGGGATGGGGAGGGGGGCGAGAGCGGTGCCTGCTGGATTGCCGGGCCCAGCTTCTGCCCCATGGCGCTGATGGCGCTGTGGTCGCTGTCCCCAGGGCAAGTGACAGTCAGCTTCCCGGCTGGGCCCACACCAGCCAGGGCCACACCTGCTACAGGTTCCCCCAACCCCTCACCCTGCCTTTCTGCAAACTCCGGATCAGCTTCCTGGTTGGGTGGGGCTGGGCTGGGCCAACTCCCCAACCCCAGCCCGGCCAAGCCCCAGCAGGGTGGAAACCCAAGCTTCCGCAGCTCTAGAGCCTGAATAGTGAACATCGGATTCTCTTGGGGGTGGCAGGGCAAGGAGAGAAAATCTGGGTTTGCATCATCCCCCTCACCTCACCCCCGCCCCTACCCACCTCTAACCCTACCCTAGCTCATCACCCTCTCGGGCTCCCCACTGTGGCCTTGGGCAAGGCACTGGAGACACCTCTCTGGGCTGCAGGTGCCTCATCTGGAAATTAGAGATAACACTTCATTTATGCACACATTCATTCATCCAATGTGTGTCACAGGGTCCTACTGTGCACCAGCACTGAGTTAGACAGAGACCTAGCCATGGCCACAACAAAGTCCCTAAGCTTGTGGAGCAGAAATGCAGCCCTTGCCAACCCCAGGCTGAGCTGAGGTCCGGTGCTAGAATGGGCAGAAACGTCTTTGGCTAGGATTTACCCATCAGACACCGGGCCAGCATCTTACCTGGCCCATTCTTTTGGGTGTGTGTGCAATGGGGATTGAACCCTGGGCTTTATTGCTGAGCTGCATCTACAGCCCTTTTTAAATTTTTAAATTTTGAGTCAGGATCTCACTGCCTCACTAGATTGCCCAGGCTGCGATCAAACTTACCATCCTCCTGCCTCATCCTCCCAGACTGCTGGGATCACAAGTGTGCACCACCATGCCCAGCCTTGATTCTTTCATTTAATGTCACCCAGCCCTATGAAATGGACACTGTTGTCCTCAGAGCACCTGATGACTTCAAGGAACAGAGAATAAGTTCTGTGCACAAGTTCCTAGACTCAGACACAGACAGAAAGGAGAAAGGACTGTGTGCCAGTAGCTGCAGCCTGATTCTTTGTGTCATACTGTGTCAGAGTGGTAAATCTAGACTGGAGGTTGATACAAAGTGCACTGGGCACAGAATTTGTAATAAAGTGGGGTCCGTGTACCACCGTTGCTTAAGATCTCAGCTGGCCGTCAACCCCACATTCTGTGACTGTCCCTCACATTTGATAGATGGGTAAATAGGTATGTAGTATGTGGGTGACTTCTGCCTGCCAGGCAGACATGGGGTCTAACTGCTGGAGAGCAACCAGGGCCAGAAGAAAACTACATCTCCCAGGATGCTGAGTGGGGCGGGGCCTCCACGTAGCCAGGGTGTCATTTCTTGGCATTAAAAAAAAGTGAGGTTGGGGGAATAAAGAGAGAAAGTATCAAAGCCTCAAGCGTCATGTCTAGGAATAGCCTCAGAGTTGGTCCAAGTCATTATAGACGATGAGTAATCCGGTTAAATCATTTCTCTAAACACCATTCCTTGTAAGAGAATTAAAATATCAGCTTACATCAGAGGGGGGAGGTGGCTCCACTGGCTGACGGCAAGTGGCTGTGCTGGATGCCAGGACTCGTGGCTCGATGCCAAGGCGCTGCCAGCTGGGTCTTGGCTCTGGCTGGGGGCTGGCAACCAGCTAGGGTGGGAGGGACCAGGCCTCAGTTTACCCTGCTGCAAGAGAGCGTGGGTTTCCCTTCTTTCCTCAAAGTCTGTCTCTCGTGGGGGCAGCCTTGCCAGTAGATGAAGAGGGATTAGACTGTAGGAAGCTGGAGGAGCCCCCCCATGCTCTCTGGACATTGTCTGAGCCACCCTCAGCCTGGTGACATGGATGGGGAGGGGAGAGGAAAATCTGATTTCCCTTAGACTTCCAGGAAAGTTGTGGAGGGGGCGTAGCTTCATGTCCATTTTTCCCCTCTGTCTTTAGTTGCCCTGTATTAGGGGAATGTGGGGCAAGGGTGGTGGCCGGTGCCAGTTTTGGCATCCTGAGGATGGGGCTGTAATGAGCTGGGGAGTGGGCGGATCACGAAGGCTCCTTGGGCTCCAACCCCCGCCCTCCGA